TCAAGGTCCTATTATAAACCTGATTTAGCTTTCCTGGAGTTTAGAAATCCCTTGTCGTGCTGTGGGTCTCATTGTTCTCTTTGGGGTTCTCATCAATTGCCTTGAAACGGAGGAATCATTCTTGCCTTGTCGTGCTGTGGATCATTCTTGCCTTGAAACGGAGGAATCATTTGTTTGGGTTGGCTGATGGGAATCAAGATGACCCCACATGTACCACATCAAGAGATCCATTACACATTCCAGGAGGTCCTGTCACGAGAGGTAGAGCTAGGAAGATGCGAGAAGCTTTAAATGGCCTTATTGGGCAGATCTGGCTTGATAACAACATGCAAGAAGTAAATCGATGCTTGGATGATATCAAGGCATGATAAATATCATTCAGGTTCAAGAGAAGCTTAATTGAGGTCATTTATGCTAAATTACACAGTTTGTGTCAATCTCGCAATTCTGTCACAATTTGTAACAAACTAACATTTCATTTTACTTTAGGTTACTTTTAGTGATTTTCACGTTTTTTATATTATTTTGGGCTGAACATTCATTATTTAAGGCCCAATTCGTGGTTATTATGATTAGTGCTTAGGGTGTTAGTTTTCCCTATTACTTTCATCACCATATGCACCATATCTTCCAATTCCACATAATGCTGCAGCTCCACCACATTAGCTATATCACGATTTAAGCCAAGCAGAAATCGTGCCATAGTTGCTTCTCTGTCCTCTTCCACATTCACTCTAACCATTGTGATTTCCATCTCTTTGTGATAATCCTCAACACTTTTGGACCCTTGAGTAAGGCCCTCCAATCATTGATAGAGATCACGGTAGTAGTGACTAGGAACAAATTGTTTTCTCATCACAGCTTTCATCTCTTCCCAAGTATCAACAGGATGCTCTCGATTTCTACGTCAACTAAGCACAAGCTGATCCCACCACGCTACAGCGTAATCAGTAAATTCCACCGCTGCCAGTTTCACCTTTTTTCTCCCCAAAATATTTATGGCAATCAAAAACCAATTCCACCTTCTTTTCCCACTCCAAATACACTTCTGGATCATTTTTGCCTTGAAACTGAGGGATCTTCATCTTGATGCTACCTAAGTCATGATCTTGCCGATCTCCCCACCTTGTCAGATTTTGCTCTCTTTGGCCCCCCCTACCTGATGGGAATCAAGATGACCCCACATGTACCACGTCAAGAGAGCCATTACATATTGCAGGAGGTCCAGTCACGAGAGCTAGAGCTAAGAAGATGCGAGAAGCTTTTAAATGGCCTTATTGAGCAGATCTGGGTTGATATCAACATGCACAAGTAAATCAAAGCTTGAATGATTGTCAAGGCATGATAAACATTATTCGGGTTAAAGAGAAGCTTAATTGAGGTCATTTGTGCTAAATTACACAGTTTGTAACAAACTGATATTTCATGTTACTTTAGGTTACTTTTAGTGATTTTCATGTCTTTTTATATTATTTTGGGCTGAACATTTATTTATTTAAGGCCCAATTTGTGGTTATTAGGTTTAGGACTTAGGGTGTTAGTTTCCTATTCTGATTAGGATTTGTTTTCTCTATTTAAAAGGCTTGTAACCCTAATGGGGAGGA